AAAAAAAAAAAAAAAAAACTTCAATAGACAATCCTGAAGATAAGATGCCAAATACTTCTAATTTCGATCATACTTTATGCCCTGTTTCTCCAACTGCAATTGTTGCTCTTACGCAATCGACACTCAACAGAAGTGAGAGAGAATAGGTAGATTAGGGAGCGACTACTCATGTTTTCTTCAAAATAGATAAGATCAAATCAAATCAAAGATGATTAAAGAATAATGAGAAGAGAAGAGCATAGAGCCATAGACTAGAGAATGCACAACTTTTATTATATAATGTACTTATTGGGTTGGGCTTGGAATGAAGCTTCAACTTTTTTTTTATGTAAATTACTCAGTTGGGCTATGTTTCAACTCATTTTGGGCTATATTTCAACTCATTACCCATTTGAGCTTAGTATATTTAAATGAAAAATATATATTTATTTAAATATATAAGTTATTATTAGTTAATTTAAGTATTTGAATGTTTTAATTTGCCAACTATTTAATTAACAAAGTTTTCTTGTATAATTATTATTATATAAAAGATTATAGATGGTTAAAAATATTAATAACTTAAATAACTATTCATGACGGTTACATGCATGATGATTTAACAGATACAAATCTCGACGAAATGATTCCGTAACTGTAACGAGACGTTCGTTCAAACATAAATGGAGCCATATGTTATGTGTACAAACCCGTAGGGTGGGTGATGAGTTTATGCTAACCAAGTCCCGTAACATCACAGCTTGAATCTTTGTGTTTGTTCATACTTATCCTCCAACTCCGATCCCAATTTTTTCTTTTCTTTTTTTTTTAAATTTTTTTATAAGGTGGGTTTATTTCAAAAGAAAAAAAAAATGGTAGCAATAGTATACTAAATTACTAATAGGAGTATAATACCCGCATAATGCATGGTTTATTTTGAAGTACATATATAAATTGTCACATAAAGGTAAGAAACATTAAGAGCATGCTTGGATATAAATTTGTTTTGTTTTGATTGAATTTTTGGTTTGGTTTGGTTAAATTTGAAAAAGTTGGTATGATTAATTGTTAGTGGGTATTATTAAAATAATATTTAAAATAAAATGATTAAAATTAAATAAATGTAAAAGTAGGAGAGATAATATGTGATGTGATGGTTAATTAAAATTATGTGAGTAGATGAATAGTAAATTAAGGTTGATGTTGTGTGTAAGAATGATTGATTGGTATTACTTAATTATATTGATATTAGTGATGATAGTGGGTTGAGTTAAAGTTGAGTTAAAAAAAGTGGTTGAGTTAAAAATGATTGGAATTTTTTGAATTGAATTTGTATCCAAGCATGCTCTAAGGACTCTGTATTATTTTCACATATCTAAATTCATTCAATTAAATAGTCAAATTTAGAAAGATAGGACAATATTAGAACAAGTTATTGAAACTCGAAATGTTGAAAATAAAGATGGCTGTAGCTAGCCTTAAGAAGAGAAAATTGTTTTATTTTTATTTTTAATTTTAATTTTATTTATTTATTTTTATATTATTTGTTTAAGACGTAATCAAATTCGAAACAGAAAAACTACCCTACATATGGGATTTGGCTAAAGCGTCAATCAATTCAAAACATAGGAATCTGTTCTACACTTCTACTATATTATATATATTATGCATAAAATAAAATAATCCTAGAATTTGTTAGCGTACAACTTAAAATTATTCTATAAAGAAAAAAATATATATATAAAGAAAATACTTTAAAATATGTATAAAATGCTAATTAAAAATTATTGTCTATATTATTTTAATTTATATTAATAATATTATTTATTTATTAAAAATATACTAGCAATTCATTTATTTTATATTTCTAGATAAGTTATTGATAATAAATTACTCTTTCGATCTCTTAATTATAAATCGATTTAGTGATTTACAAAACCGACTATTTAATTGAATTGCTACATTTGTTTAATGTTGAATTTTTACTCTTTTTTTGTGTAATCATATATATTTAATCTTATCTATTTTTTTCTTAAAACAATGATAATTTGATAAGCCCTCATCAACAAAAATGTTATGCAATGTAATGCAAAAGTTCAATTTAAATAAACTTTTCAACCAAAAAACTTATTTTTCCATAACTTATAGACGTTGAAGTTAAAATTATAAATACCTAAAATCTCATTTAAAAAAAAAAAAATATTTGAGGGTGATATGGATTCTAAGTTTTTAAAAACTTGATGGTACATATATCGATATTTATATTTATACATAGTGAATACATTTTTATTTGAAATGCGCGTTTCGACTTAAACTACAATTTAACATTTAAAATCGGGTTCCCATGAGTGAAATTCCTAAATCCGTCACTGTATAGTTCGCCTACATTTTACCATCCATAATATACACAAATACATTAATATAAGATAAAAAAAAAAAAAAAGGTTAATGCAACCTATATTTATTAAATTAAAATTTGGTGGAGGGACATACTTGAGCAAAAAGATTAAATTTGGTGGGCCGTTGCATAAAAGCTTAAATCTTATATGGAATTAAAAAAAAAAAAAAATCTTTTTCTTTTTTCCTGGTAACAAGGTTTGGTACTTTGATTTGATTTGCAGTGTCAGCAGTTAAATTATGAGCCACATAAATAAAATGCGAGGAGTTGGCAGTACAAAGGAGTAATGCATTCAGAACAGAATCAACTGCATATATTTATCCGAAATTTTCCACTCCAAAATGTAAATTAAAAGCATATAGAATAATAATATTAATCAGAATATACTTTTTTC